GAGAGTTTTATTCCTGTACAAAACATGAACAAGCTTTAAATGTACACACTTGTAATTTCTTTGGACAATTATTATCCTCATGTATGAAGAAGGCTATGTTAAAGAGACGTCCCACCCTGTACCTCATTTCACAAATCTGAAAGAATTCATTACCATTGGGTCACTATGACCCATGAGAGAGATGTGTTTCCAAGGACAGAAAAAGTAGCACACATGCCGCAGTTGGGTGACATGCCTTAAAGCAAGTTTTTGAAGCTTGAATTATACATTGGGATTTACAATGTTATCATACGCATGGAAAAGAAATTAACCGACTTGTAATTCCTGTGGTGAAGTATTGTAATAATGTATAAAGGAGATACAGGTAAAGTGGACCAAAATTAGCCAGGTTCTTTTATCGTTGATGCTTAGATCCAAGGATGCACACATTCTTTAACAAGACATATTGCAAACCTTATCTTCTAAAAGAGTGTAGCAGGGATGAAGCACGTGCTTAGCCTGTGGTGGGAGGAGTCAGAAGTATTGGGTTGTATTTCTGTTTCTGCAGCTCACACCCGTGCAACCTTCACCTCAATGAGCTTCTTTTTTCTATATCCATAAAAAAGGATGTTAAGTAAGGGTGTTAAGACTGGAAATTGTTCAGCGTTCTTAGAACTCAAGATATCAAAGCACCTGAGAACACTCATTGGTGTTTCATAAATGCAATTGTATTCTTAGAATATTATTAAATCATTTTGGGATTAGATGCCTCTGCATTGACTAATAGAATCACGTAAAAAAATAGAGGTCAAGATCTCTCATCTCATTCTTTTAATAAGGACAAGATTTAAAGCTACAGCATTTGGGGATGTTTCATTTTCATTCTAATGTAATTTTGAATTTGGTATTTTTAAATTATTTTTATAGGAAAAGGAAGGTGCTCTCTTGATGTAAATCAGCAGAGTTGCTTCATCTTTGAAGCGATTCAGGGCCTGAAAATCAAAGGAAGATATTTCTGCCTTCTTCCCGGATACAGAGGCACTCCTGGAGATACAGTTTACACTTAAAACAACATTCCAATTCTTGCAGGATTGTTTTCTGCAACATGGCCTATAGCTGGTCAGATTTTATGTCATATCTCATACCACAGCACTCTCCTCCTTTACCAAGACTCCATGATTTCAACCTCTCCTGGGCTTCTTCCAGGCTTCGTCAGCTGCATTATCTTGCAAGACCTCAGTTTCTTGTCAGCTCAGTCACAGAGAGACGGTTTCTGAGGGAGTACAAGTTTCACAGCTTAACTCAAAACCTTTCTGTAGAAGAGCACTGCTTCCTTTCACTCCCTACCGTCCCTTCCCCTGACCCATAAGTAAATCAACTCTAGGCATCCCTCTGAGACAGAATTGGTGACACAAGTGGAGGTCCAATTCTAGGTCAGATTTGAATAACTGTAGAGTGAAATTCACTCCCAGGCAGAGGGTCATCAGAAAGGCTCGTACTATACTTAAGTCCTTGCTAAGATGTAGTTTGAAAGTTTAAAGTAGAACTAAAGTTTTCCATAGGCATTGTTCTATCCCGCTGCCAAAGGGTGAATTTGAGACTGAAGGCCATGGAATATTTCCGATTGATTACGAAGGGAATTGGATCTGAGATGGGGATGGAGGTCGTGAGAATGCAGAAAAATAGATCTCTGCTTCCTACCAAGATTATAATGAAATGTCCCGTGCCCCTAACAATGACCTGTATGAACTGAAAGGACCAAAGGGGATATCTGCTCATGACAGCCAGTTGTGCTACTGATGCAGCCCTGAATCACCTTGACATGCATTCTCATTCCACCACCAAGAAAGTCAGTGGAATGACACAACGAATGCAGACTGCAACGTGCATTATTAGGATTATCCCAGTAATCCCAAACCCTGAGAAAACAGCATGTTCAAAAGGAGGATTTACCGAGGCAATCAAGTTTGTTTGGTAGCTAATTGGGAACTCCTGTAAGAGACGCATCACAAATCCTCCAGGCAGTCCTAGAAACTGTATAAAAGCATTCATGGCTCAGATCTCCTCTAAACGCTTCTTTGGACTTCATCCCCTCGGTGAACTGGGTAAGTCCGATTCGACTCACTCTCTTTCTAACCCAAGAGCTGTCACAGTAGGGTCCATTTAAGACACAATCTTGCACATTTTCTCTGTGATTTTTAACAGGGAATAGGGTGTTCTTCCATAATTATCTTGTGTAATTTGAAGCCAAAGTTGGGGATTTTAGGAGCACCATATGCAACCAGGAAACATATTTCCTATTCACTGGATATAGAATTAGGGCATTTAAATCTTTAAAGTAACATAAGAAAGTCCCTCAGCCATTTTTAGCTTGGATAGATTAGGAAGAAACTTTGCCACCTTCATCCATAAATGGGCAATTCAGGGGTTTTCTTTATTCTGAAGTAGCTGTTACTCTTAACTATTGGAGCCAGGAGAATTATTAAGGTGACAACTGGTGTGATCCAGTTTAGCAATTTCTACATTCTTATGAACAGAAATACCCATTGAAGATGCTTTTCCTCAGATGGTGTAATTTATTGTTACTCCATGAAAGCCATTTTACCAGAGTAAAAGGTCTGAGGATCTTGTCCTTAGTGATTTATTTGGAGAAAGAAAAAGTTTCTGTTCCTTCATTAGCAAGTATTGGTGACTCCCAAGGTTTAGAAAACCAAAGAGCCACACCCTGACACTGGACACAACGGGTTTGCATGCAGAGGTTGAATCCTCAAAGGAAAGGAAAAGATCAGCATTATCCCAGCCATGTTCTCTTTGAGAAATGGCTATAATGGATACAGCATACCAGGTATCCTTCAAAGAAATAATGACACTTATTCCAGGTGGTGTTTATCAGACAGGTCATTGAGAGGGTTTCAAAGGGGACAATTGGGAGGTAAGTTTAGTGGGAGTGGATAAAAGGCATAGAAATAGGAAATAGGAACAAAAACATAGCCACAAATATAGGGTCTAAGTGCACTCCTCCTCTCTCTCTCGGGCCCCACGTAGACCTCACTACTATAGTAACTGAGGTTTGAGTCCTTTCCACTGTCATTGGAACCTTTTCTTTACTCTATTCCCTGTTGTGTGATTCAGGTTTACCTCCATCACAGAAAGATGTCTTGCTCCAGCCTGTGCTATCCAGAATGCGGGGTGGCCCGTCCCAGTCCAGTTTCTGGCAGCTGCAACGAGCCATGCGTTAGGCAGTGCCCTGACTCTGAAGTCATCATCAGACCATCACCGGTTGTCGTAACCATCCCAGGACCAATTCTCAGCAATTTCCCCCAGCAGAGTGAAGTGGGAGCCGTTGGAGCACCTGTGGTCGGAGCCGGCTACGGGGGCTCATTCGGTTTGGGGGGATTGTATGGCTATGGAGGCCATTACGGAGGATTGTATGGTTATGGGGGATTAGGTGGTTACGGGGGCCATTATGGTTACGGGGGATTGAGTGGTTACGGGGGATTGTGTGGTTACGGGGGCCGTTATGGTTATGGAGGATTGAGTGGTTACGGCGGCCGTTATGGTGGACTGTGTGGTTACGGGGGAGGTTACGGTTACGGGGGAGCATGCGGTTCCGGGGTATCTTGCCATAGGTACCTGAGTGGAAGCTGTACACCATGTTAAACCCTGCAGGAATATCAATGGTAAAAGAACAAACCAGGAAATGAACAACAAGCTAGAGATTCAGACAGAGATTTCAGAAGTGCTGGGCAGGCATGGCTCCACTTGAATTCAATGCGAACTGTGTCTGCTCAGCCCCTTTATCTCATAGAGCGATTGCTAATATTATGCTCATAAACTCTTTCTGCCAATGCTTTCCCAACCACCTGCTTATTCTCCTAGTCACATGTGGACTCATTCTGAATTGCACTCAGGCTGTTTGCACTAACCCCGCAGTGTGAAGGAAACAGGGGCCTTAACACAGGCATCAGTTGTACTTCTTATCACTTTAATTTGTTTGTCCAACTCTGTACCTGCAGCAAAGGAAAAAGAACATCTTGCCGCAAATGCATCCCAAGGAAGCGGGTGATCGGTCCCAGACCTTTTGGAAATATTTGAAATAAATCCTTTCTGCTCTGTATTATTTGTTTCTGTAACTATGAATTGCAAATTTCATTCTCATTAAAAACTATGCTGCATCATAATATTGATCTTCTGGTTCTCCTTGTTCCTCCCTCCTTGTTTAAAAATCGTGCTGGAGGAAATTCCTCCCTGTATAGCCGGCAGCACCAGGCACTTCTAAGTTGCAACTTTCGAAGGCATGGAGTGATAGGAGAATAAAGCCCTTAAAGTGGTTCAAAGCATTATTCAGGCCGTCTGCACAGGGGTGGAGTTCTTCCTCGCATTATCCGTGTAGCAAAAAGCCTTTTCCTGCTAAGACTTACACAGATTTTCAGTTTAAAATGTCAATATTTCCTTCGATTTCAAATAGACCAATCACATGGTTCGTGGAAAGTGTCTGTCTTAATCTTCGCTGGATAGCGACCCAGATTTTCAGAAGGAAAAGAAAATTGGCCATCCCTAAAGACAAATTACACTACACCAAAGTCAGGATCTTCATTGTGATATCAAGAGATTAGTACACTGACCAGTACTCCAATACAGGAATCTCATGGTTTTTTAGGAAACTGTTCCTCACTGCACTCCATATTACCAGTTACCATTTTTATACAAACCCCCCGAGTGCACCATAGCTTGATATTGCAGGAACTGCACATACCAAGACTGCATTTTCTACTATTTTCTTCCACATTTTCATGGCTCTCAGTTCCT